CGATACGATAGAAACCATTCGAGCTTCTCGAAGCAATATAACTTTTAACACCCACCCCTACGAAGAATGAAACGGCTTTTCCATTTTATAACCTAAGAACGAGCCAAACTATCTGAAATATATAAATTTAAAAACATAGGAAAGATTTAATGGTTTCCCTATTCGAAATGAACTCTTGATAGATATAAATTTATGCATATTTGCGTTCTTTCTTAAAAATATTATCTAAACTGTTATTTGGCTAAAAGGAAAACTTGACAACGGTAAACATAACTCTAAACTGAAAGGTTCAAAAAATGTTATATTATAATTTTCACTATTAACAGAACGTTTTGAACATAGTTATCCTAAACAAATTGTAATGGCACAAAATGTAAGAGATACGAATAATTCAGATGGCGTTTATCAATAATTAAAAAGCAAACACGACGGGCAACAGTCTGAACACAATAAAGCGACACAAATAGGAAATTAAATTCAGTTGGCAAAGGGAATCTGAAGCAATATCGGTTATATCGAAGACTTACTGGAACCAGCTATAACATTTAACGACGACAAGTTCCTTGTTAAATGTTACCCTACGTGATTCTTAAACTTTTATAAATTTTGATCCCTTTAGGATGTACGATTTCTCAGTTGTCCAGTAACTTCACACCATTGTTGACGAGTAAACGTGAAAACAAATCCGTACTTCAAAGACTTCAAATAAATGGGTTGCGAGCGAAAGGTTGAGAAACACTGTCTACGTCTAATCCGTAAAATAAATGCTCACCTCGACCATAAAATCACTTTATAGTGACATATATTTTTACAACTAAAAAGATTTTATGTCTACTTAAAATTGAAAAAAGTACAATTCGTTTGACTAAACTATCACACGACTGTCTAGTCTCGCTTTGATTCCTACGAGCTTATATGGTGCGCACACTACTCGATTTTAGTGCAATTAAACAGTTAAATTGGCTGCCAAACAATCGACAATCGCACAATTGTAAGATAGTTTAGTCTAAGGTGTGAGCCCGCTATACTCGTAAGAGTCTATCAAAATTATTTCACACCCATTACAACAACGTTACAACACACCCATCTTAACATTTGCATATAACTTTTTATTATTTCAGAATAAAAAAAAATCGTGTAGTTTTCTCAGCATAACCTCACATTCATGTAACAATCTCTATTTATTCAATATTTACATTAAAAAATCTTACGTTTCATACAATGACATTAAGCATTGAGACACACATATATAACATGTTACGTCTAAGTACATTAAGTGAAGCTGCAGAACTGCATTTCATATGCTTATCTCGAGCATTTCCCGTTTCCAGGTAATAACTAATGCATTAGCTGTCTGAATACAGATGGCGCCACAGTCACAACTATCCCAAAGCGAGAAATGCTTTCTAACTAAATTGAGTTACAGTTAATTTTAGGTTATATTGCAAATATAATTTTCTATTTAGTAAACAAAGCAAATATTTTAAGTACAATTAATAATAAGTTAATAACTTAAATGTTGTATATAACAGCTCTATTTTTAATTATTATTTACGATTCTAGATAACCTTTTCTATATCTTCAATAATCCCCATTTATTCCTTGTCTGTTACGACATTTAAAATCTATTAAAAAAAAATTAAACAAGAAATGGGAGCAAAAGAATTCTCAAAATCGGTCCACTAACGGCGGATTTATGCCGTAACCGTAACACACATAAAAACATAAACGAATTGAGTACCTCCATCTTTTGGGAAGTCGGTCAAAAATGCAATTCTCTTTTGTAGTTACAAAGTGGAAAATAAATACTCGTTTACTTGACAAAGGGAACAAATGGGAGAAACAATTAAGTCATTAAATCACTTGATGTCATTGTGCGCGGCCATTGTCGTGGCATTAACAAATTGAACCCGGTAGAGCACTCATTAAGCTACGATTTCACTGCTTACTACTTACTTTTGAACGCTTTTTCATACAGACTTACTCGACATTTCTTTTCAACGTTCAATAAATAAAAACTTGAAAAGTGTTAAAGCAAAATCCAGTTTAATTTAATATTCCATTTAACATGCTTTATTTTATTTTATTGGTTTCTTACACAATAATTCGTCAAAAGTGACATTTTTTGACATTTTCAGGATAATTAAAACCCAGGATTCCATTTTATAGATGTTATGAGAAGGGATGAACACACTAACAAGGAGAACGTTAGTTATGAGTGTGGTACACCGATAGAGGTAGACCTAGAAAGATGATGATCAAGAAAGGAGTGATAACTGACATGAATGATAGAGTTATGTTGAGGATAAAAATGTGCGCTGACCCTACGGGAGTAGGATAATGAGGAATATGATGATGGTAAACCCAAGATTAACAAATAACATTATAGCGACAAAAAATATATAGATATATCTTGGTGTTTACGTAATCCGAAGTGATACTATCACTAGCAGGAACAGAATACACTTTACACTCTTTCCGTGGATTTTGAAACTGATACGATACGATTTACTCGCTCTTGGGACTCGGATACCTTTGTTGATCGTACTGCTTAGCATAACAAAGGATTCATTGTTGTTTATTTATGCCGGCACAATCTCTTCTATGCGGGATAGCGCAGATATTGGATGTACGTGACCATCTTTATTCATTATACAGCTATTACATGTAGTAAACTTTTAGTGAATAAATACCGCAGAATTCATTCATTTGTCTAAACTATCGCATAACTATTTAGTCGCGCTTTGATTCTTATAAACTCATATAGAAGTGCGCACACTACTTGATTTTTAGTTAATTTAACCGTTGAATTGGCTGCGAAACAATCGACAATCGCACAACAGTTGTGCGATAGTTTCGTTAAATGTGAGCGCCAGCTTTAAGACTAAGGAAAATGATATTATTAGTATAACATGTAATAAACATTTAAAATATATTAAACACTAACTTTTGCCCGCGACTCCGTTCGCGTGGAATTAAAAAAGACAAAAGTGAGTAACCTATGTGTTCTTCCAGACTATCCTCTACATCTATACCAAATTTCATCAAAATCCGTTTAGCCGTTTAAGCTACAAACTCTAACAAACAACCATCCATCCATCCATCTAAACTTTCGCATTTATAATATTAGTATGATGGTTTTTCTTGTTGTCTTTGAGAAGAGAAGAGAGGAGAAATTTATCATTAAAGAAACACCCTTTATCTATTTATAAATTAATTCACGACCTTTTGTTAGTGAATGTAAACATACTTGTATTCTGATGTAATTTAAAAATATTAATATAAAAAATTTATGTCTCCGGTGAATACATCATAGAAAACCGAAAAAGTTATTACAGAAGGAAGAGCGTCGCTGGAAATTACAGTCTGTGGCACAAAGAATACGGGCAACGTCACAGACGACCATTTTTAATTATGCAAGACTTTGCTCTTATATTTCGCTTTTTAGCTTTTTAAAATGTCTACAAAAATGTTCTTTATTTCACAAGGCCGGTTTCAAAGAAAATCAAATGTTTCACAAGACAGAAAAGCCTCAGACTTAAGAACGAAAAAAACTCTTGATAGTATTAACCTTTGTTACGGTAACTCTTTTTAATTAAGGCAAGAGAGAGAGAGAGAGAGAGAGAGTTTATCGACAGTGACAGTAATTAATAGTTTTCAATTTGGTGCCTTATAAGAGATTCGATAACCGTACCGTTTATTCATAAAATAGTAATAATCAAGGTAGTTGCCTAAAGGACTTATTGATTTACTGACCTTAAAAGGTTTGTAAAAAATGTTTCTACGGTAATAAACAAAAACTTTTCGCTTTGATGACACTAAACTATCAACTGTTACATTTACCTTATTTAGTTCAAAAGTGTAAGGCACTAAAACAAAACTAATTTAAACTCAAAAGGCAACAAAAACAAGCAAACAACAAAAGATAAAATAATGGTAATTTTTCTTAACGTTTTTCAATGTATTACCAACTACGTTTAAGTAACATCAGATGCAAACATTCCGCTCCCAGTAATTATAAAGTTTGTTCCACGAGTGAGGCAATCTCGGGAGCTAATTCAATATACTCATAGAGCGAGGCAAATTCATTTAACATCGGCGTCGACGTACGCTACTTTACCTTATTATTGCCTAGCGGTAGTTATTAAGCTGTTCCAACAACTTTGTTTCGGTAATACTGTTCTTTGATTAATTGTTTGTTTTACGCTTCATTTGTTTTACTCGAACACTGTTTGAAATTAGAGAATTATTACGTGACCCACATGAACCCCGGTACATCTTACTTCTTACTAATATTATAAATGCGAAAGTTTAGATGGATGGATGGATGTTTGTTAGAGTTTGTAGCTTAAACGGCTGGATAGATTTTGATGAAATTTGGTATATATGTAGATGGTAGTCTGGAAGAACACTTAATTCCACGCGGACAGAGTCGCGGGCGAAAGCTAGTTTTAAAAGCTCAATGTTTAATTTTTTAACAATAGATTGATACCAATCGAGCCTGTTCTTTTGCCTTCTATAATTCAATAATTTAATTCTCAGTGTAAAATAATGCAGTATTAGAAAAAACTGGATGTTTTTTTCTAAAGTCTGATAGATACTTTAAAGGGGTAGATCGTAGCGCACATTACTCACAATATACGATCACTGTACATTCAGTTTATCTAGAACATACGTCTTTCTCAATGCAAATGACTCTCGCGTTCATCCGCCCGGGACCTTATACCTAGTCTAATGGGCACTTAAGTTACACTTTTATCTTTATTACGATGTTTTCTTTGTTTGGAGTAAAATTTTGCATGGTTTGCGAGACTTTTTAAGGCAATAACAGAGGCATTTTATCATAAATAGTTAAAAGTAGTTTTAACGTTTGCCATTTGGTTTGAAGAATGCTACTCCGAATAACCAGCCGCAATTTTGTTGGTAAAATCATGACAATAATATTTTTTATCTTTTTAGCAGAATTGTAATTGTAATAAATATTTTATATTTTGTTCTAGTTGTGGAGATCAACGAAGCGGAATACTCGGTGTTTGTTTCGAAGTGGTCGGAATGCACCACCAATACCGAGGAACACGACAGAGCCATTGAGAGGTTTGATTATTTAATTATAAAAATAGATCGCTATTATTTAACTAATAATAGTTTAACTTATTAGCATAATTGGTATGGTATGATTGTTACATTGTTTTCTAATAATTTGCAGATACAATACAAGAGTGGAAGAAGACTCTCTAGTGCACACGCCTAGGCTCGGACTTCAACGACGTCAAGTGCAATGCCGTAGGAAGGACGGACAATTTGTAGAACCCATGTAAGTCAGGAACCACAAAGGTTTTAAAATATTATGTCCAGAATACTTTTCATTTTGTTTTAAAATTTGACTGAGATTCCATATTGATCCTTTTTGTAGGTATTGCGGTAACGCGATATCCCACATCGGCACAACCCGAGTATGCGTGATGCGTGAAGATTGCTCGCTAGCCGAGTGGCTGCCGTGGCGGCCCCGGGCCGACGGCGCGCTGGTCCGCACCAGAAGACTGCGGCGACTTGCACAAGGTCACTTGAATACCACGGCTTATACTTTTCGCATTTCTCACTCTTTAGATAAAAAAGCAAGGTTGCTTATTTCATTTTTTATACCCGAATAATATCGAGTTATGCTAATTATACTTGAAATACACATTTCTAGGCGGTGGCAAAGAATGTGAGGTGGTGGAAGAAGTACGTCCAGCGGCTCTCGAGGCTAGCGCGCACTGGACGCCCGGACCCTGGGGTCGTTGCCGTGTCGCTGTCGCGCAGCCCGCTACTCCACCGCCAAGTAAGTAACCCCATATATTATATCCAGAAAAGATAACATAAATAAATAGCATATTACACGGTTTGGTTCTCGTCTCTAACTAGCTGATGATGACGACGACGCTGAAGACAATGATGAACTATACGATGAGGATGAAGAAGCCGATGAGATGGACCGCGCAGGGACAGGCGACGCAAGCTGCGGGGGTGGCGTGCAGCGACGTGACGTAAGCTGTGTGCGGGCGGACGGCCGGGCACTACATCCAGCGCAATGCGCGCACGCCCCCATGCCCACGCTCGTACAGCCTTGCGAGGTATGTGCAATATGTTGTTATCTCATAATTTATGTTGGCTTATCAAGTTTATTTAATAAACATTTATTTTAGGTACCATGCCCCCGTGACTGTGAGGTAGGAGAGTGGGGAGAATGGGGCGCATGCCAACCTATCGATGGATGTCCACTTTACCCCGTGCAGGAACTGACAGCAACTGGTTGGTACTAATTTTTGAAATCAGTATTTGATATGAGCTATCGTGTATTTGAACTCTGTTCCATGTCAATGCAACGACCCAGGATATAGCGTGCGTCGTCGTCGTGTGACGTCAGCAGAGTCCGGCGGCGGTGCAAACTGCCCGCCTTTAGAGGAGAAGCGGACGTGCACGATGCCTCGCTGCGCGTCCTGGAAGGCGCTTCCATGGGGACCCTGCGTACTCAGCCAGCCGCACTCCACTTGCGGGCCTGGGAGGCGCATGCGTGAGCTTAGATGTCTGGGCCATGATGGAGTAAGTACAAAGAAATATCAGCGGTCATGTTTATAGAGAGGATCTTGAGAAAATTAAAAGATGCCTCATTTTTCTGACGTTTTTAAAGCAGTTAATAGAAAATTGCTTACTCATTGATAGCATTTAAAAATAAGTTATCTTCGCAGAAAGAAGCGCAACGCGCGTGGTGTAGCGGCAGCAGCACGCCAGCACGGACTGAGCGGTGTCGCATCGCATGCCCCGGCGACTGCGTGGTGTCAGCCTGGTCGGTGTGGTCACCCTGCACGGCGCCTTGCGCCGCCCCCGCACGTCCCAGGCCCACCAGGACACGAACTCGACAGATCATTGCTCATGCATCTCCCAGTAAGTAGTGATTGTGACTTTAGAATTTAGTCAAGACGAGTTTATCATAAGAGCTCACTGGACTTCAACATAAAACTACATGGACTGAATTATCTTACTTTCTACCTCATACGAGTTTATTAATCGCCACGAACTTTACTGAGTAAACTTTCCTCGCAGATGGCTGGCCATGCCCAACCGAGGACCAGCTTATCCAGAACGAAACGTGTAACAACCACGCTTGCGCCACTTACTCCTGGCTCGCAACGCCCTGGGGACCATGCGAAAGACGTCACCAGGATTACATTCCTGTAACCAACTACACTGATTTACAAGTAAGAGAATAATGGTGTCTCTAAATGAACTATTATTATCCAAGAGTATATTTTATTTAACTTCTTTGTAACAGGAGGGCGAACCTTACAATGAAAGTGATGATGAGGAGCCGTGTGTGGAGGAAGGTCAGATCACCAGAAACGTCATGTGTGTCCAGAACAATGCCGACGTCGTCCGCGATTCCTTGTACGGTTTTACAGCATTAAGTACTTTCCGCGGCTTCATTTCTGGCTATTTAATTACTTTATCAAAATATGTAAATGTTAAATAAATGGTGAATTTAATTGTGCTTAAATCAGGTGTTTACCATTACGGCGACCACAATCCCGGCGTGCCTGCACTTTGAGATGTCGCCGGGGCTGCAGGGTTGAAGCGTGGATGCCGTGGTCGCCGTGCCCTAACACTTGTGGTATAATATTTGAAAATGTTATAGTTAAAATACTTATATCATCCATTAGAAGATATACTTTTCTATAAGAGATATTAAAAATAAAGATAGTTATGGGGCTTTAGTTCATTTCATCACAATAAATGTGTCTCAGAGCCAGGCAAGCAAGTCCGCGTGCGAAACGTGCACGGTGGTCCGAACTGCGGCGCAGTACAGGAGGTACGCGACTGCCCAGCGCCGCCATCGTGCCGCGCTCGTGAAGCTGGCTGGATTGCAGGCGAATGGAGTACCTGCCGACTGCCGCCTGGACAGAGATGCGGCCTCGGATTTCGACTTAGAAGTTAGTATTGTTTTACAATAATAGTAACTTTTTAGAAATGTCTTCTCCTAGATTTTTAGTATTATTCCATTCAGATGGACAATGTCAGTAACAATCATTTCATTAAAAGTACTGTCAATATATTCACACACATTTTGAGTTCTCTTACGCCTAGGTATCTGGTGCGGTTCTGATTCACATCGCGTGGAGGCTGGCGCATGCGCTGGTCAGCTGGTGCCGCCCAGCGTTGCCGCCTGTATCGTCACCTGTGACCGCATGGTCCCACTCACCTGTGACGTCATCTGCGAAGATCCATTGAAGTATGTTCCTTGTTGTTGGTACATCCGAACCCTATACCTGTATTTTGACTCGACCATTTTCCTTAAATACTGGAGAAGAAAAATTAATTAAAACCTGTTTCAGATATCTCGATGCATCTGACCCAGATGTTCCAACCTGTGTCTGCAAGACTGTCACTTTGGAGCTTCTTCCTGCTGATTCTGATTGTATTTTGCCACCAGGGTAAGTTTCCTAAGTCACATTTAAATATGCAGTGTTTGTTTATTTCATTTTCATGTTTTTTTCTTAAAATCAGATTGGAGTGTGGAGAAGGAAGAGCTTTAAGAGCCGCTCGCTGCATGGCCAAAGGCCGGGACGTCCCAATGGACGTTTGCAAGAAATATCATCCGCTAACTGGTACGTACAATACAATTAATCCTATTTCTCACTTTTTCTTTTTTATAATAATCTTTTTTTAATTTTTTAATTCCCTCCTTTCCTTATGCTCGGTTCTATTCAAATTCAGCCGAGAAAGATTATGTTTGCAACAATAAGCAATAACAATATTTTAGGTCCGCGCCGCGTCCGCGAGGCTTCCACTGATGGGTTTGCGTACGACGAAGAATTCCCGACGTTGGTCCGCGGCGCGTGTAGCGTGCGGTGCGCGCGGGACTGCGCCACCGGGCCTTGGGCACCTTGGGGCGCTTGCTCAGCTGAGCCCGGCTCACGGGCAGCATTCAGATTCCGAACAAGGTACATGACATTGATAAAACTCATTGGCTACTTGATTCTATTTATATTAAAGCTGCATTTCGCGTCCTTACTAAGTTACCGCAACTTTTAAAAACTTGTAGTGATCGAGGAAAGTAAGCAGAATTGCAGAATAACATCAGTTTCTGACACCGTTCCCAATCATTTGAAATCATCATTTACTGAACAAAATTCTAGCGTTTAAAAAATTTTCTACCAGAGAGGTTATAGAAGAGGGTTCTGCGGGAGGTCGCGAATGCGGCGCAACGCTGCAGCGGGCGACCTGCGTGCTGCCAGAGCCGTCGTGGCGCGTCGGCGAGTGGTCCGTGTGCGCGCCGCAGCAGGCGCTCTGCGGCCGCGCCATCATCAACAGGACCGTCATGTTAGTATGACGATACATAGAATACTATTACACATATCCAAAATTTGCTCATAGTTTTAAAGTCATTCATTCGTAAAAATGTTGGTCCAGTTGTCAAGACTCGAACGGCGTGAAGCTCGAGGACTCCGAATGCGTGGTGGGCGGCGCGGGGCAGCCGGCGGCGCGCGAGGCGACCTGCCGCGCTCCCTGCCCGGCGGACTGCGTCGTCAGCGCCTGGTCTGAGTGGAGTCCTTGTGAACAGGTACACAAGTAGACATTATGATAACAGAGATAGACTACTTTTAAACCAACTAGTAGTATATCCAATAAATTCTATTGGTTTAAAATACCCAAGCATGCAATTTCAGTCGAAATACCTTCATAACAATAACAAAAATATTATTTCGTAGTCTACTCACAATTCACCATCAACCAAACATCAGTACATAAATATAATTAATTTCTTATTTATAGACGAAATGGGGTGGTCGTCGCGACCGAACTCGGGTAGTGCTCCGTCCGGCGGACGAGGGCGGAGCGCCCTGTCCGCACCTAGTGGGCGGCGAGCCCTGTGCGCCGCACACGTACTCCTGGCACGTAGCTCCCTGGGACGACTGCCAACCTTTAGGTGAGATTTTAAAATTGATAGAATGTTCAATGTAGGTACCAGTTTTAATTTCAAACCGCAAATATATAGAGCTATAAAACTAAAGTGAGATATTTATTGACTGTGTTCTCATACAGGTGGTTCCCCGTGCGGCGAAGGTACAAAGAGGCGATCTGTTCGATGCTTGCGTAGTGATGGGGTATTTGTGAACGACTCATATTGTCCTGTAAGTCACACAACATCCTACTGTTGCACTGAGAACCTTTATTTGTAATTGCGATAATGGAGAGGATTGTATTTTGTGTGAATGTTACCAGAATGCGACGGCAACGGAGGCGCGCGAGTCATGGTGCTACGTGCCGTGCGGCGTGGATTGCGAGCTGGGCGAGTGGAGCGCCTGGGACACGGCTGCCTGCGCGTGCGGCGACGCGACCTTCGCACGACACATGCGCCGCACCAGGTAGACACAAGCCACCCTGACACCCTGACACCCTGACAGCTAATAATCAAATTAATGAGGAAAATACTCAAACGCAGTTTGCAGTTTCTCTTATTTTGGAGCATGTTCATGAGCGGTGTTTCTTAAATTATACTCGTAGGTTCACCTGCTTGTTCCTCATTGGCCTACTGCTTCCGTTAAGACGCATATGTACAATTATCTAATTAATTAGACAAAATGTAAAGCAATTTTTAATATGATTATACTTTTACAAATTAAATTGTAAAGCCTTTGTTTTATTCCCACAGACAACGTCTGACGGCTGCGGTCTGGCCGGGGCGCGCGTGTCCGCCGACGGAGCAGCGAGCGCCCTGCCCACGAGAACCCTGTCTACGACTCGTCGCAAGACCTTCCCTCGGCTGCCATGTTCAGGTAGATCGAATTAGTATCTTTACATATTCTATCTTTTCTCTTAGTGAACGCTCCAGTTACCTTTTAAACGGGTATGACGGATGCCGGCATCTATGGGACTAATGGATTCTATAAGGATATGCCAGTGATTCCTTTTGTTAATGTATACGTTGCAGAGGACACTATCTTTGTAACAGTAACTTCAGTAGAGTACACATTTACGTTCTTCAGACGTCGACTGGCGAGGAGGCAGACAACGCGTGCGGCTGGGGCGTGAAGGTGTCGCACGCGCGCTGCGAGCTGGGCGGCGCGGGCGACACCGCGGAGGCATACCTGGAGCCCTGGCGCTGCGCCGCCGCCCTGCCCGGCCGCATTGCCGCCCCGCCGCTGCACTATCAAGTAAGAAGTTTGTCTAGCTTCCCCTGTCCCACTGGGTTGCCTGTAAGAGAAAGCCGCCCCTAAATAAATCTTGTAATAGTTTAGTTTTAATATACTTATTGCAATATTTGTGCAAAAAGTATTAATAAAATAGTAATTTATTTATTTTTATTAAAATTGTCTTGTTTATTATAAAACAAAACTAATTACCTAGTCAAGGAGCAAAAACCGACAATGTGCATACAACGGTCGTAATGTAAACCTTAATTTGTAAGTTAGTTGCTTGTACTTACATGGTTTCACGTATGTAGGAGGACGAGACGTGCGAGGTGGAGTGCGGCTGCAAGGAGTCGGAGCTGGGCCAGCCGGGGCCGTGGGGCGCGTGGGGCCCGTGCCGCGGCGGCTCGCGCTCTCGCACACGCCAGCTGCTCGTGCCGCCCTCCAGACCCTGCAGGACATCATCCAGGTAACATAATACAGAAAGTAAACACCAAACACTGTCAACAAATAATTAATAATCTACTTGACAGAGTCTAATGGGCGTGTAATGTATGTTGAGATCTAGTTATCAGATCGTACTAGACCCGTTAAGTGGACCAGGAGTCCCACTAGTAACACAAGTTGTTTTTCTCCAACGATTTAATTAACGAGTGTACTTAAAGATACGTAACAATCGAGTGGGCGAACTGCACCGGATCCCCCGACGAGATTTCGGACCTGCTGTCTGCAGACCGCGAGGAGAAGCCGCGCCGCGCCTGGATGGACCACTCTACCTACCACGACGGATATATGGGTAATACTTTCGAGCCATGTCTTAATATTAAATTGTTTTTCTAACTACAAAAGTTGTTGTATTAATAAAACAATAATGGATTATAATATTTCGTTTATTGTCTTTTTAATCTATAGATTAATACGGAATTGGAGAGTCTGTATGTAATATTAAAATAAAAATTAATATAAGTTGTATTTTGCAGAGGGGAGCGGGTCTGTGCTGCTGGCGGTGTGGCTGGCGAGCATCGTGCTGCTCTCTTGCGGCACCTACATGTTCTATCGCGGATTAGTCAGGTATCATCCAATTCCTACTATAAGCAGTAGTTTCTAATCTGAGCCACTCTTGGAGACTCGCAGCCCTATGCCTTTAACCAACTTGAATTTTTTGTCGTCTAACCCACTAGTAGTGAAAAGATTGATAATATTAATTAATCTGTGTCGTAAACTAAAACAACATCTATTACACTATTTGATTTGTTTCTGTTCATGAGTACAGTCAGCTATATGAAGATGGTTTCAAAAATATGAATTAACGAATCCGTCGGTAAACTTTCGACTACGAATTCATTCTATTGACGAATATGTGCAAAAATTTTTTTGAAACCAAAGGCCTAAGTTTTTAAAATAGTGTGGTTAACTATTTAAGCAACTGACTGTACATAAATATGTATCTAACTTAAATTTCGTCATCAGATGCATGAAAAGACTGGATTCGAAGAGCATTGCGAAAGTGTAAGCGCAGTATTAAAAATGTGGCTTTCCTCAATCCGCGCCATCGCTGGCTGAACGTCCTCGATACAAATGAAAATGCCAAGGATTTTGTTATTTGAGTAATTACTTTATTTGTAAAATTTATGTTGTTTTATCAGCCAGGTTTATTGTTTTTACGATGATCGATGTTTTTAAAGTTTTTGTCATCATTTTGTAGTAGTTAATTTTCGCGTAATTAATGCAGTTCATGTAACAATGCATCTAGAAATTGTTTATAAACCTGGCTCTAGTTAGATTTGTTGATTTAATGTTACTACCAAAGAAAAGCCGATGTCCAACATCAAATGTATAATTTTATTGTTATTTTAGTTTATATTTTGTAATACATTATTTCTTTTATAAGTCTAGTATAAGCAGCCAATGTATTTTGTTATAAGATGAATGTGTCTAGCTTTGTAGTATAAACATGGGCGCTATCTCTATTATTCGATAGCCTATGTTACAATATATTACATTTTAATGAATGCAGTTTTAAATTTAATTACATTTTAATATAGCACCGAGACAAAATTAGATTAACATATTTAATTACACGTTACATTAAAATGTCATTGCAATATTTATTTATTAAAAAAAAATCCAGCAATCAGTCTGTCCGCAGGAGTGCTTCCATGTTTTTTATTAATATAGTGCGTTGATGTAGTTTTACGCACGCTTTTTGGATAAAAAGTATTTCATGATTAGAATACGAAGTCGGGGGGAATAATATAACTTAGGCAATTGATACCATAGACGTCTGGAAGAGGATTTATAAATCATAAAATCTTGTAATGTGGGCGCATTTGAATCGTGTAATCCGATTCGAGAAACTCCACTACAGAAAGATCTGTATAAAACATTGTTGTCTTTGTCCTTTTTTTGTACAGTCAGCTGTATAAATATAAATTTATTAAACTTTAGAAACTTATAAGCCTTTAGTTTTAAAAATATGCAACCATATTTGCGATAATAATTTTTTTCATGGTCGGAAGCATACAAACGGACACGCGCACGCATATTTTTGTAACCGAAGGCTTAAACAGTTTCTGAAACTCCAAATGTATTCCTATTTATGAAGCTAACTGTACAATCGTACGGACTGTATTCCGGAGCGTTAAAAAGCTAACTGCTTATTGAAGATATTTTGCAATTTTCAAGCAATCTGTTTACCATAGAATAAACTCTAATATATAATGCTATTTTTACCAGTAAGTCTATTTTAAAATATTCATAATTTTCCTACTACAATTTAATCGCACAAAACGTTATTCCTGTTTACTGATATTTATTATGAAATATTAGTTCTAATCTGTTAACTGCCCAATTTTAATGCAATAAGACTTGGTAGAGACCAATACGACGTGACACATCATGGCACATATCAGTTTTTTAATATAAAACCTCACAATATAGTTAATATCTGTTAGAATTAGTAATTACCTACAATTAAAAACATCATACCGTTTTAAATTACAGTTAAATTTTAACTTATATTTGCTTATTTATTTTTAATCAGTTAATGAATTTTGTAATGATTTTAATTATGCAATTTATTTTTATTTTCTAGTCTCAATCAAATAGCTTTTGTAATAAAAATACATTGCGATTGGCAATGCTTGAATCAAAGACTCATGTAGAGCTTTGGCGCACAAAAATATACTTTAATGTTTTAGATATAAGACCTTATATTAACCAAACGTACAGTTTTGAGATTGTAATCGCGTATAGACACTAGTAGAATTTGCATTTAAGCTGTATTGTGAAAAACATATCTAAGTATGAGTGTACTTCGTGTCTACTTCACTCAAAACTCTTCGCTAACTATCACTTTAATTTCAATCTTTTTTTAATTCATAAAAAAAATGTATTTTTATAACTTGATCTTTATTTTTTCATAAGTGACTACATTTCTAATTACTTGTGAATTCTATATTTATACGTCTTGTTCCTTCATGACAATATTTTAAATCGGACGTTTATTTTCATGTTTTCATTGGAATATATTCATGCTATATTTTCTTCGGCTTCAGTCGTTTTAAACTTGATGTATATCTTTCGTATATGTGTATTTGTAACCTTATTATCATAACTTACATTGATGTGAAACATGATAGCTAAGGAATCGTGTTAGACAATACAATATTTGATATTTAATAAAATTTGATTGTGTTTTATATTCTCGTTTTTTATTTGAGTACCTAATTCATCATAATTTAAAAACAATTTAAGAAATGTTATTGAAAAGCACAGACGACAATCATTTTCAGTCATTTTTACGAAACGTTTCTAAAATAGGAAAGATGAAAATAAATTACACTAGCCTCAGTAGTTGAGAAAATAAGGAGTAAAAAGTTAGCGTAATATGGGCATGTAACAAGAATGTATGTGGAGAGGTACACCGGTAGAGGTAGACCTATAGAGATGGATGGATTGCGAGAAAGGTGAAATGATCAAGACAGTGATGACTGAGATGACGGATTACAGAGTCATTTGGAGGACAAAAACCCGGTGCGCCGATCCTACGGGCGTAGGATAAGATAGGGGAGATGATGAAAAATAACATGAATTATTTTTAATGGTATAGTTTATTTTAACAATAAATTAATAAATAATAACATGGCCATCACTAAATGGCGACATATTGCGAAGTGTTGTGGAAATCAGTAACAGCTTTCTGGGCTTTCACCATTGTTGGTGAATTAAACGAAAAGACATCCGAGCAATAGTAATCCTTTATAGTCTTCATCTTAACATCTACACATCCATTCGATGGCTTTTTAACATCGATCATTGAGCACACCACATCCGAAAACAATTTGGGCTGAAACTTATCAAACTGCACCAAATTAGGACTGATGACGCCCAACCTACAAGCTAGAGTGTCCATGTCGCTATAAAACAAAGGAATATTATACGACTCGGCCAGCGCTCTGAGTATCTTCCAGTCGTGACGAGCTTTGCCCGGTGGTGACACAGCGGGCAACGCAAACTGTACTCTACCTTCCATGTTCATAAAGGTACCTCCAGATTCGGTATACGCACATCCAGGTAAAATCAGAGAGGAATTCTCAGCTCCCCGGTCACCCTGGAATCCGATGTAGAGGACAGCACAATCTAACGGCGCTGTCCAATCGTAGAACGTGTCGTCTGCTCCTAGTGATATTACTAATACCGGCTTTTGCTCGTTCAATGCTGCAAGCGCACCGGGTTTCCAGCCTACCTCCATTGCACCCGCGAAACTTGCTTCCA